CAGGATGTACAAAATCCCTGGAAGTCACCTCTGGGCTGGTGGTGAAGAAGCTCCCGTTGACTCATGTATGTCCCTTCCCTGGAATTTGGGATTTGGGAGCCTTCCTGAGCCATTCCAGTCCCTGTTCTGAGCAGGGATCTCAGCTCCCCGTCCATTTCCTCGTGCTCACAACCAGGGGTGAACTCCAAGGGTAATTCCAGGTCGTGTTGTACTTCCCACAAATCCACTCCATCCCAAACATCCCATCTGAGACCTGAGGTGGATCCAGGTGTGGGTTTTGCAGTGTCAGATCCCACGTGTGACTCCTGCAGTCCATGGAACACCCAGCTGGGAGTGGCACAGCACCCCTGGCCCCGGTGCCAATCCCATTCTGGGGCCAGGTCTGCCTTTGCTCCCAGCTGGATCCTTGTCCAGAGGCTGCTGCAGGCCAAGCCTGCAGGAACACGAGCTCAGGCTCTGCAGCTCCATGGCCAGGACAAGGGACAGGACAGGAGGGAACAGCCCCAGGCTGGGCCAGGGCAGCTCTAGGGGGACACTGGGGACAATTCCCTCATGGAAAGGGTTTCCAGGCGTGGGAATGGGCTGCCCCAGGCAGGGCTGCAATTCCCGTTCCTGGGGCATTTCAGAGCCCGGGGATGTGGCACTTGGGGACAGAGCTGTCATGCCTCAGGATCCCTGGGGTGAGCTCTGGGTGCTCTCCCTGATCCCTCAGGGTTTGGCTTTTCTATTTTCACATTCTGTGCTGCTTTAGTGTGGGGTCTGGGCTTCATATTATGGGATGGTGAGCTCTGTGCACAGAGCAGGGAGACAAAACAATTCCTGCTCCAGCTGGGCACCAAGGACAAATGATCCAAATCTCAGCCCAGGAGCACAAAGCCCGTGGGCTGCAGAGAGAAAAACAAGCAGGATGGGAGTGCAGGGGCTGAGCTGGAATTGGACACTGAACTGCAATGTGCACATGGAGCAGAGCTGATCCCAGGGAGAGACCCCGGGAGCGCTCGTGCATTTTGGGGCCATTTGGGTTCATCTTGGGGGCAGCCCTGGCTGGGCTCTTGTGCTGCCCGAGGTGCATCCATGGAGGAGATCCTTTCAATCCATCCCTGCTTTATTCTGGAACTCTGCCCAGCCTCTATCCTGGGTCAGCCTTCACAGGTCATCAGTTCACCTTGGAGTAGTTGGACTTGATGTCCTTAAAGATCTTTTCCAACCATTCCATGATTCTTTGTGGGATTTCCTTGCTTTGGGCACATCATGGTTCCCTTCCCTGGACTGTGGCAGAGCTGGGAAGCTGAGGTTGTGTTCCTGCAGCTTCCTCCTCCCTGAAATCTCCTCTTTTCCTCCCACAGAGCGACGGCAGCCAGGATCCAGGGGGATTCCTTTGCCAGGCTTGCACCTGGCTGTTCTTTGGCTCCCTGACTCCTCTCACCTCTTTCTCAACAATCCAGTAGGAGCCCATCCAGCTCTAACAAAGCCCTCCAGCTTCCCAGAGCTATACTGGATGTGGGACAAATCCTCTTGGCACATCCCAGCTCGAAAATCAGGTGGATGTTGGAGCAGGATTTCAGCCCAGCTCCAAATTCCAGGTGGATGTTGGAGCAGGATGTTCCCAGCTCCACAGGAACTTCCAGGCTCCCTGGGGACAATGTGATGCCTTTCCTCCAGCCCTGCCTCATCCTCCAGGAGCTGGGAATGGAATATCCAGAGGAATCTGCACTTTAGGAGTGGATCAGACAGAGTAGGGTTCATTTTGGAACTGTCTTCCCCCTGTCACCAGTATCCAAATTTCCTGAACATCTCATCATTCCTGGAAATCCCTCTGACCCACTGGAAGAAGAGGAAACACAACGCTGGAAAGTATCCAAAGAAAATTAATTTCTTTAAAATGAATTGTTCCTGTCCAGCTGTGGGAGGAAATAATAAATCTCTCCCAGTGAATTCTTTTTCCATCTTTGCAGCTGAGGGGTTTCCCTGAATTCTTTCCCCTCTCCCTGCAGCCAACCAGGAAGAAAGAAACAAGGCAGCAGCAGAAAAATTCCTTTGGTTTGGTTCCAGCCAAACTCAGGGACAAACTGGAGAAGGATTTCCAATCCTAAAATTAAATATGTAGCCAAAAAAAGCCTTAACACTTCCTTTGTGTCTCTTCCCTGCCCTTAAATACTTTTTATTTCCCAGGAATGCTCAGGTGGATCACGTTCTCCGTGCCCTGTGCTGCAATTCCAGAGCCTGTGCCATGGGAAATCAAAACTGAAAGTGGTTTAAGGAATCTGCCCTTGGACACAGCCTGGAGCTGTGGGCTGTGCCTGCTGCAGGAATCTCAGACATCCATTTTTTCCATTCATGGAGCTGCTTCCCTCCCTCTCCTTTCACTTTCAAAGCTGACTCCAGGAATGCATTCCCAGCCTGGGAATCCTGGGAATCAGGCACCTGCTGCTCCCTCCCAGCCTCTCCTGCCTCCCGAGCATCCCAGCAGGGATGTGCCCAGTGCTGTGCCTGTCACACATCCCTGGATCAGAGGCACAAACAGGACAAGAGCAGCCAGGAAAAGCCATGGAATTTCAGCTTTTGGATCCCTGCAGCCTCCCAAGCTTTTGAGAACTGGCAGCTCTGGAGGATGGGAATGAACCCCTTATTTCTGTGGTGTCTGATGGGAATCTCCTTCGTGCTGTGGGGATGGATTCATCCCAATCCAGTCCTTCCCATCCAGTTAAGAACCCACTGCTCTGTTGTTTTTTATATAAAATATATTTATTTATACATAAAAATAAAGAGCTGCCTTTTCCAGAGTGTAAGGAAACAAGTGGATAAAACCTGGATAAGGAAACAAGTGGCTAAAACCTGCTGATGGATAAAGGGAAAACACACAAAGGAAAATATTCCCTAAATTGTGTTATTTGATCCTTTATGGTGTCTGTAGAGAGACTGCTCCAGCTTGGATTTCCTGGGAGCCAGTGGGGATCAGGATCCAGAGCTGGGATCGGTGCTGGAAGTGCTTCCAAAGGATCCCTGAGCTGTGTGTGGGGGTGGGATGGTCCCAACACCTTTGGCTCTGGCTCAGTGGCTGGAAGAGAGCAGGAAAGGGATGAGGATGTGGGGAAATGCTTGGCTGGTTCTCTCTAATTCCTGGGATTTGGGGACAAAGCTGGGAAAAGGATGAGGATGTGTGGGGAGATGCCTGGCTGGGTGCTCTCCATCTTATTTCTGGGATTTGGGGCAATTTGTGGACAAAGCTGGGAAAGGGATGAGGATGCTTGGGAGATGCTTGGATGGATCCCTCCCCATCCATTTTCTGGGATTTGGGGCAAAGGCAGGAAGTTGATGAGGGTGTGGGGAAATGCTTGGCTGGTTCTCCTTCAGTCTAATTCCTGGGATTTGTGGACAAAGCTGGCAAAGGGATGAGGATGTTTGGGGAAATGCTTGGCTGGGTCCCTCCATACAAAGGCAGGAAAGGGGTGAGGATGTTCAGGGGGATGCTTGGTTGGGTCCCCCTCCATCCATTTTCTGGAATATGGGGACAAAGCTGAGAAAGGGATGGGACATCCAGCTACTCCAACTCTATCCATGCTCCTGGACAGGGAATGGGAATTACCTGGGGCAGGGCAGCTCAGCTTCATCCCAAACCCCATCCCAACATCCCAACCCTCTCCCTACCCACCACCAGCATCCCCAGGGCCAATTCCTCCAAATCCCAGCTCCCAGTGCAGGACACCCACCCACCTTTGGGATGATCCATGGGAATCATCCATGTTCAGGCCAGGAAGAGCAGCCACGCATCCCCGGCTGCTCCGTGTGCTGTGCCACCCCTCAGGGAAGCATCCAGAATTCCATCCTCCGGCATCCCTCGGGATGGTGGGTGCGCCCAGTGTCCCCAGGGTGGGTGCTCAGCCCGTGGGGACAATGACAGGAGGTGCCACCTCTTCATTCCCAGAGGGAATTCCTTCCATGGGAATGTCTGTCACCGTGTAGCCCTGCCTGGTGAATCTGTGGGGGGAAGAGGAGCATCAAAAGGCATTCCAAGGCTTTTCTTTGGAAAGCACAGAAGCTTTGGAAAACTCATTCCTGGGGTTTGGCACTTACTTCCTCCTCCTCCTCCAGCAGCAGACGGCCACAATTCCGATGGCCAGCAGCACCAGGAGTCCTGTGGGATGGACAGTCGGCGTGAGGAGCATCTCCCCACCCATGGCTGATGAATTCCACCAAAACAGCTCCTGGATTTTAAGGAGCCAAAATGGCTCCTGGAAAATAAGGAGCCAAAACCACTCCAGGCACTATCATAAGATCCCTCCCCACCCACAGAGGGAGGGAATTGGGAATTCTTCTTTCCAGGAAGAAATTTAGGTGCTGAATCCTTCCCCCCCTCAGTGGCATTCCCGTTGGCCATGGAATAAAGCTCCCACAGCCCCCAAAGGGATTTTAAGCTTAAAAAAATTGAAATAAGCCCGTTTCCCAAATAAGTTGTTTTTTTTTCCCCCCAGCTTACCAACAGAAGAGGCCACGGACTGGATGGAAACTGGAAAAGAGGAGAGAAGAGGAAATTTTGAGCTGCAAAGGTAGGAAATGCTGGGAGGAGCCTCACAAGAAAGGAGGTTGGAGAGAAGGAAAAGTTGGGGAAGAGGAGCATCAGTGGCATTCCAAGGCTTTTCTTTGGAAAGAACAGAAGCCTTGGAAAACTCATTCCTGGGGTTTGGCACTTACTTCCTCCTCCTCCTCCTCCTCCAGCAGCAGATGGCCACAATTCCGATGGCCAGCAGCACCAGGAGTCCTGTGGGATGGACACTCGGTGTGAGGAGCATCTCCCCACCCATGGCTGATGAATTCCACCAAAACAGCTCCATGAGGAGCCAAAACCACTCCAGGCACTATCATAAGATCCCTCCCCACCCACAGAGGGAGGGAATTGGGAATTTGGATTTTAAGGAGCCAAAATGGCTCCTGGAAAATAAGGAGCCAAAACCACTCCAGGCACTATCATAAGATCCCTCCCCACCCACAGAGGGAGGGAATTGGGAATTCTTCTTTCCAGGAAGAAATTTAGGTGCTGAATCCTTCACCCCCTCAGTGGCATTCCCGTTGGCCATGGAATAAAGCTCCCACAGCCCCCAAAGGGATTTTAAGCTTAAAAAAATTGAAATAAGCCCGTTTCCCAAAGAAGTTGTTTTTTTTTCCCCCCAGCTTACCAACAGAAGAGGCCACGGACTGGATGGAAACTGGAAAAGAGGAGAGAAGAGGAAATTTTGAGCTGCAAAGGTAGGAAATGCTGGGAGGAGCCTCACAAGAAAGGAGGTTGGAGAGAAGGAAAAGTTCCATTGGAAAAGCAAAAGAGCCTTTGTGGATGAAACAAGTCCCAGGGGAGGTTCGTATTCCCTTGGGAATCAGCCCGACCTGCGGCATAATCCGTGGGCGGGATGGGCGGCGGGGTTGTCCCCTCTCCCAGCATGGATGTGTCCAGTGTTGGAATCGTTTCCGGTGGCCTGGATCCATCTGGTGACAGCCCATCAGGTGCTGGTGGCACAGGTGACTGACTGGAAGCTGGAGAAGGGCTGGAATTCGGGCTGGCACCAGTGGTACCTGCTGGGAAAACAGTGGGAAACCCTCAAATTCCCAAAATCAAAAGGCGGCGCCGTTATTTCCGTGCCCTCATCCAGCAGCCACGGAACACTGGGATTTCACCCCGTGGGGTGAATCTGATCCCAGCACGGGAATGTTGTGGTTTCCACACCCTTGGAGCTGTGGCTTTGCCCCAAACCCAATCCCAATCCTGTTCCTCACCCCTCTGGGTCGTGCTCTCCAGGCCGTGGGTTTCCCAGGAAAGAGCCGGATCTCCTTTGGGAAAACACAACAGGAAGACACCATCAGCTGGGAAATGAACTCTCCAAGTGGTTTGGTAAGTTAGAGAGTCAAAATTATTTTATCCAACATTGAGGTCTGGGGGAAATTCCGCCAATTCCAAAAAATGGATGTTCGTTGTCAAATTTTAACGATTTTTATATTTTAGCAAAACAAGGAATTAATGCTCACTGGCTCCAAGCTATTAATTACCATTCTATCTTCTATTGATTAATAATTTGTCCCTTTTTAATTATCCTAATTAATCCGTATTTTCAGCCTTTTAATGATGTTTTCCCAGATTGGGCACCTCTGGTTTATGCAAAATCTCTTTGTGGTTTATAAATTCCGCGTTCCTGGCGTTCCATCCTCAACAATAAATTCTTCCCCCAGGTCTGGGAGCACTGTGGGATGCGAGGCCCTAAACTTTTGTTTTCCCAACCCATGGACATCACCCTTGGTCCGTTAGGAATTCCACGGTTTAAATTCCTCTCTGTACTTCCCCCATTTCTGATTCTTCTGGAAGAAACACAGCTTGGGTGGCGCTCGCGTTTCTTCCCATCCTCCTGCTCCCGAGGTGTCCCAGCTCCCAGATTCCCAGTGAGGACTCACGGATGCACTGGAGCGTGGGGTCGGTCCAGCGGGGCTCGGAGCCGTTCCAGAGGATGCACTGGATGAGGCTGGAGGTTCCAGCTTTCCGTTTGTAGCCGGGGTTGCAGGAGTAGCGCAGGCGGGAATTCAGCTCCGTGCGATTCCCGGCGTCGATGTGAGCGTTGGCCACGGCTTTGGGGCGGCTGCAGTGAGCTGGAATGGGAATGGGATGGGGAAAAAAACATGGAATCACAACAGGGAGATCAGACAAGCTCTGGCTGTGCTGGGGAATTCCCCACTCCTCATCCCTGGAAGTGTCCAAGGCTGGGTTGGACGCGGCTTGGAGCAGCATGGAATAGTGGAAGGTGTCCCTGCCCGTGGTAGGACATGGAATGAGGTGATCCCTAAATTCCCTTCCAGCCCAAACCTTTCCACTATGCTATAAAATCCTGCCTAGGGGTGGATATAGGGATTTATACATCCTGCAAAAATAAAGGGACACCGTGCCTGACACAGGGAATGGAGAAAGGGAGAATATTCCCAGCATTTTTGGGATCACTTTTAGCAGCTCCTCCAGAGGCTGGGGAAAGGGAAAACTCCACTTCTGGCTTGTTTGTGGTCACTCATAGCAGCTCCAGCCAGCAAGGAATTTTTACGGAATTCCATCCCCTTGCAGTGACTGTCCCAGGCCAGCAGCCCCAGCTGCCTCCAGCTGCTGAATTCCAGCTGTGGTCACTGCCCCATCCTTCTCCACTCATTTCACAGCTAGACGTGAAAAATTCCAGCTGCTGGTGAGTCCTCCAGCCACTTCCCAGGAATTTTTCCCCTCTTGAAGATGGCAGCTGAAATCCAAGTATTCCAGACAGAGGGACAACGATGGATTTTGAGTTGTGGCTTTGCTTTTCCCCAGAGGAGCTCCTGCTTCCCCTTCAGCCTCAGCATGAGCTCGGTTCTGTACCAGAGTGATGAAATTTCCCATATTTTCTGGTGCAAAGGGCAAAATTTCCTGGTTGCTCCAAAACTGTTCCAGCACCTGGATCCCTGTGGTGGTGTGGGAATGGCTTATCCATGATCCTGGCTGCTGGAAGCTCCCCTATCCCAGTGGGAGCCAGCACAGAGAGATGGAGAGATGTACAATGGGAATAACACTAAATGCAGCTGGGATGGAGCCATGGATGGCTGGGATGGGATGGATGAGCAGGAGGGAGTGGTGGATATCTGGGATGGGATGCACAGATGAGGTGGATCCATGCAGGGCTGGGATGTGAAGTATGGCCAGGATGGAGCAATGGAAAGTATGGATAGGATGGAGCAGTGGATATCTGGGATGGGAAGCAGGGGATAGGATGGAGTGATGGATATCTGGGATGGGAAGGAGGGATAGGATGGAATGATGGATATCTGAGAATTAGGGACAGGAAGGAGTGATGGATATCTGGGATGGGAAGCAGGGATAGGATGGAATGAGGCATGGCCAGGCTGGATGGATGAACTGGTGCCTGGCATGGATGGAACAATGTCCAGCTGGGATGGAGCAGTGTCCAGCCAGGAGGAACACACAGCTGGGCTGGGATCATTGTGGAACAGAGATGGAAGAACAGTGGGAATGGGAATGCCATGGCAGTGAGGACAGGAGCATGCAGGGATGGGAACGTGCTGGTGACAAGGACAGCAGGCACCAGGGACAGGAGTGTGATGGCAGCGGGAATGGGAGCAGGATGGGGATGGGAACAGGATGGAAACAGAAAAAGTGGGAATGGGAGCCGGATGGGAATAGGAGCACAATGGGGATAGAAACAGTAGGAATGGGATTGGGAAGCACAGTGGGCATGGGAACATGATAGAAACAGAGGGGATGGGAGCAGAATGAGGAACTGGAAACTGTGGGAATGGCAGCAGGATGAGGAACTGGAAACTGTGGGAATGGGAGCAGGATGGGGAACTGGAAACCGTGGGAATGGCAGCAGGATGAGGAACTGGAAACTGTGGGAATGGGAGCAGGATGGGGAACTGGAAACTGTGGGGATGGGAACAGGATGGGGAACTGGAAACCGTGGGAATGGCAGCAGGATGGGAAGGGGTCAGTGGCACGGCAGCAGTGGGGACAGGAACACAAGATGCTCCCACAGCACCAAAACATGCAGAGATAAAAATCTCCATCCTCAAAAACTCCTGCCCTAATTTGTGGTGCATCCCCAGAACATCCCAGGGGAATCTGCTCCAGGTGGATCTGGGTGTGATCCCGGCTGGCGTGGCCGGAGGACACGAGTGACGTGGGGACATCCAGGTGCTGAGCACAGCAGCTCTTGGTCTGCTGTCAAGACATGGGTGAAATTCCTGGAATCAGCAGCTCTTGGAACCAGGATTCAAGGAAATGCCTGCCTGGAGATGTTTCACAGCTCACCAGACCTGGCACTGCCTTCAGTCAGGGAAAAACCCTCCCGGTGCCAATTCCAGCTGTGCCTCCAAAGGGAGCACAGCAGGAAATCCAGCCCTAAACACAGAAATATCCAGGAAAAACAGGGATCTGCAAGCTGTGCTTATGCCTTCCAGCTTTTAAACCTGCTCTCCTCATCCCAATCCCTCCAAAGAGGGTTTTTTTTTTTTTACATTTGGTTGGAATCTCCTCTTCCAAAAAATGCCCAAGTTGTTCAAACAAGATCCCAGCAGCGCCACTCTCCAGGATCACCATCCAGTGTTTTGCACCATCCATGGATTTCAGCTTGTTTGATGAGACAAAACACATCCCACAGGGGAAAAGGGGAGGAATCAGCTGGAGATTCAGGATTTAGGCTTTAATCCCTCAGGAATGAGTTGAAATTTCCCATGAATGGATCATCCCAGCTGCTCAAAGACTCATCCCATGCTTGGCCAACCTTCCAAAGGAGCTGCGGAGCTGGGAGCTGACTATCCCAAGAAAACACCTCCAGCTGCCTTATTTCCATCTGGATTCCCTTCATCCTGCTGGGATTAAATATCCAGGTTGAAATGTGCCCGATATCCAAGGATTTTGCATTTCTATGGATTTGTTTTCTTTGCTTTTTCTTGTCTTTCCCCACCAGCAGCCTCCAACGATGCCACTTGTGGAGGATGAGCTCATCCTGACACGTTGGGAAGCAGAACAGGGAACACAGCCAGGATGATCCCAGGCATGGAGATGCTGCCATGTGATGTCATCCCATGTCCAAATACAGCTTCCCAAGGATGCACAACAACAGCTGGACACTGGAGAATCCACACCTGGAAAAACTTGGCTGTTCTACTTAAAAAATGATCAGGAAAAGGCCCAGAGATGTTGGGATTTTCTGCTCAAAATTTAAAAGCCATGAGCCAAAAAAAAAAGTGGAGAAAAGAGAAATTTCACAAATCTGGATGCAAGAAAAATGCCGAAAATCACGGAAATAAATAAAACTTCCACATTTTAACTCAAAAATATTTCCAATTGAGCAGGAGAGGACAGGATGCCCAGTGGGAACATCATGGGATGCAGCAGCACATCCCAAATTCCCCATCATGTGAACTAAAAAAAAATAAATATATATATTATTTGTTTCCTCCAACACCCCTTAAACCCATGTTTTTTGCCCCAAACAACAATCCTGGTGGCAGCAGTGCTGCCTGGAATGTTGTTGGGATGTCTGGGATCCCTCGTCAGTGAGGAATGAATTTGGGAGGGCTATTTTTAGCTCTGAATTTGGGAGGGCTATTTTTAGCTCTGAATTTGGGAAGGCTATTTTTAGCTCGTTCCTGAGGCTCAGGGCTCGTGTCTTCCCAGTTAATGGTGATCTTCTGGCTTATTTTTGTCACCCAAGACTTTGATATTCCTGGCCATTCCCGTCATCCTGTTATAAATAGGGATAAATTCATTTTCTAGGGCTTCAGGAGCACACAGGAGCTTGGAGAAGAGTGAGCACCCAAAGCTCTGCATTCCCTTCCAGCTTTATTTCACAGAATCCTTCACAGCTGCCACATTATCAGCAAATTAAACATTTCCTAATGGTCTTGCTGCTTCCAGCAGCTCCTGGGAGGATGAACCAAGGCGTAGTTCCAAGGCCCAAGCTGTGATGAGATTCTTCCCAAAGCTCCAGGAGCAACAGAGCTGAGGAAGGGTCTGGAGAAGCAGGAGGGGCTGAGGGAGCTGGGAAGGGGCTGAGCCTGGAGCAAAGGAGGCTCAGGGGGGACCTTGTGGCTCTGCACAAGTCCCTGCCAGGAGGGGACAGCCGGGGGGGTCGGGCTGTGCTCCAGGGAACAGGGACAGGAGGAGAGGGAACGGCCTCAGCCTGGGCCAGGGGAGCTCAGGGGGGATTTTGGGGAAATTCCTTCCTGGAAAGGGCTGGAAAGCATTGGAATGGGCTGGTGTGGGCACAGGTGAAGTCCCCAACCCTGGGGGGATTTAAAGCCCTGTGGATGTGGCATTGGGGACACAGGTCAGTGGTGGCCTTGGCAGGGCTGGGTTAATTGTTACACTCAGTGATCTTGAAGGTGTCTTTCAGCCATCATGATCAAGTGATTCCAGGATTTTGGACTTTTGGAGAGGCAGGACAATGATGTGACATTCCAGGCTCAGCAGCCACAGACAACTCCCAGTGCCGTGGAAAAGCCAGAGTGCAGGCAGGCTGAAATCCCACAGTGATGCAGCTCCCATGGGTCCATCACACAGATCCCAGAAAGCACCCCCAGCCTCCCTGGACACTGTGAGGAGCTGGTGTGGGAATGCCAGGAGCCAGGTGAGCACCCAGGGAACAGGGGGCTGCAGCCTGGGCACTCTGGGTGGGTCAGGAGGCACCCAGGGAAAGGTTTGGGAATGCAGGGAACAGCATGGACACCCCAGGTGTGGCATGGACACCCTGGGGAGCAGCCTCGAGTGGGGGCTTGGGTACCCCAGGGAGCAGAACAAGCATCCAAGGAAGGAGAGAAAGCATCTTAGGGACGGTACGACCACCCCAGGGACAGTGTGGGCACACCCGGGAGCTGCCTGGCCACCCCGAGTGGGAGTTTGGGCACCCCGGGGAACAGCGTGGGTAGCCTGGGAAGGGTGGCGGGCATCCCGGGGATTGGCACTGGCTAGTTTGCATCCCGGGGAGCAGAGCGGGCAAACACCTTAGGGATGGCACGGGCAGGGATAGTGTGAACACCCCAAGCGGGGGCTCGGCTACTCCAGGCAGTAGCGTGAGTTCTCCGGGAAGCAGAGCGGGAGTCCCGGGGAGCGGCGCGGGCGACCGGGGGATTAGCGCGGGCATCCCGGGAAAGCGGAGCGAGCACCTTCGGGACCGGAGCAAGCACCTTAGCGATGGCACCAGGGAGAGCGTGGGCACCTCCGTGGGAGCTCGGGAACGCCCGGGAGTGGCGCGTTTCCCTCCGGAAGTCGAGCAGGTTCACCTGGGAGCGGAGCGGGGATCCCGGGGAGTACCGCGGGCATCCCGGGAAGCGGAGCGAGCACACTCGGGACGGAGCGGGCACCCCGGGGAAGGCGTAGGGATCCCGGAAAGGGTGTGGGCACCCCGGGGAAGGCGCAGAGATCCCCGGGAGGGTGTGGACGCCCCGGGCAGGGCTCGGAGGAGCCGGCGGGGAGCCCGGGGCAGCCCCGCTTACCGGTGTCGGCGGCGGCGCGGAGCAGCAGGAGAGCGGCGGTCCCGCAGAGCAGCGGCAGCAGCCGCGGTGCCATGGGAGCGGCCCGGGGGCAGATCGGCCTCCAGCGGGAGTTCCGTGGTGCTGCTTCCCTGCCGCTGTCGCCGTCCCGGTGTGGTCCGGGAGGTTTCGCTTTCGCTTTCGAGTCGGGCCACCGGGAGGGACGCGCCGCCCTGTCGGGATGGGTGGGCAGCCAGGAGCAGCGAGGGGATGCGGTGTCCGGGAGGGGCGAGTGGGGGTGGCAGTGCCGGGGGGGATTCGGTACCCGAGCGGAATTCGGTCCCGGGGACGCAATCCCCGGAAAGGGATGAAATACAGGGATGCGGTATCCAGCGGGGGTGAGATACCCTGGGAGGAAAAGGATGAAATTTTTGGGTTCGTGACCCGGGGGGTGCAGAGGGGATGGGATGCCCCTGGAGAAAGCAGTGCCTGGGGGATGTGATATGGGGGTCACTGCAACACCCAGGAGGGTCGTGGTTCTCTTGGGATGCAACACCTTGAGAAGGGATGCAATCCCGGCAGGAGATGAGGCGGCACTCCCTGCCCAGGAATGTGGCATCCGAGGGAATCGCGGTGTCCTGGGGGATGCAGCTCCTCCTCCTGTGCCTGGCTATGGATCTGGGGGGATTCCATGAATCCCAGTGCTGGAGATGGAACGTCCTGGTCCCCACACAAATCTTAAAACTGGAAAACAAGCTGTGATCCAGCCCTGGAAGTTCTGCAGAGCTCCTGCAGTCAGGCTCCAGCCCACAGCATTCCCAGGACTCAGATCCCACAGATCCTGCTCACAACAAACCCTCCCCAACTCAGCTCCTTGCTCGTGGCCTCTTTATTCTCCGTGGTTTGGTTTGGTTTGTTTTGGTTTTTTATCAGTGAGCATCAACAAATAGCCCCACGTGTCTAGAAAAGGGAAAGCAAAGGGTAACTTGGATAACATTTCATGGCAAAATCTTCATGACAGGGGAATAAATTCTCCCTCTGCCCCCAAGGAAAGAGAATTAACCTCAATTAACCCTCCCTGAAGCAGAAGAGAGGCTGCACCCGGGACAAAGCTCTGCCAACCCTGCCAAGTGTGTTTTAGAGAGAGCAGCATGAGCCTGGAGAACCAGGAGGAAATGCCTGAGGGTAGTGCTTAGGAACATTCCAGATGAAAACGCTGCAGGAGTTCTGTTGGAACCCTGGCTGCTGAGAATTCCAGACTTTCTGTGCTGCAGGCTCTGACCCCCAGGAGAACTCTGCACTGACCTGAGGCCATGGAGAAGCTTCCAAAATGGAATGACAGAACTGGGATTGTGGGTGTGCAGTTTGAACAGAAGTGTGTGATACCACAGGTGGGAAACTCAGAGTTTAAGGGTTTAGAATACAGTAATATACACAAAGCAAGATGGAGGTTTGGGGCAGGGGCTGCTCCTTCTTCTTCACCTTCTTCTCCATGGGTTTGGGTGGTTTTGTGTAATTGGATAAAAAAGTTCACATTGCAGGCGACAGGTAGTTAGTCATTAAGTTAAAAGTAAAAATAATTTAAGTATAATTTCTTAATTAAACAGTTTATCCTTAAAAAACCTTCTAAAGAAAGAGATACAACTCCATTTTTAGTTTATTTGAGTGAAATACTATAAAACTCACAATTTGTGGGACTCTAAAATAAATAAGAACTAGTAGACATCTAAATCCAAACAAGAAATACCATCTCACACATTTAATCCTAACCCTAACAAAAAAAAATTAAAATAAAACTCACCATTAAGATGTTGAAGAAAGAAGAAACAAAGGATCCACACAGTTCCACTCCAGCTGAGGGAGATCCCAGGTCCCCAGGGCTGGCTGGTGACACTTGTGGCTGTACTCTGGACAGGCTGGGATCCTACAGGATGAAAAACAGTCAGCAGGGCAGGGTTCACAGCAGTTTGTGCCAGAGCTGAGCCTGATCATCTCAGGTTGTGGTAAGGAAAATTCAGTCTGGGAAGACTTTGCCTTTCTGCTCAAGAATTCCTTCAAAAGATGTAAAAAATCCAATTGTGTCTGAAATTTCCAGGTGAGGGTTTTGGTGCTGCTGATGCAAAGGAGCTGTGCAGCTGCTGATCTTCCAGAAGATAAACACTGCTGGGTGAGAGTTTGCACTGGTCAGGCTGGAGGGTTGTGATCCCTGGGAGGGGCACGTGTTCACAGTACATTGCCATGAAAATCCTCGAGCCTCTCCGTGAAAAATCAGAGCTGGAGAATGAGTTCAGGAATACACTCAGTGCAAGTGGCTGGTCAGGCTCTGGGGGGTGACAAGAGGCCATGGGCTGGGGACAAGAGGATGTGAGCTGGGGACAAGAGGACATGGGCTGGGGACAAGAGGACATGGGCTGGGGACAAGAGGACATGGGTGGGGACAAGAGGACATGGGCTGGCATTGACCAGCAAAGGGACAGGGACCTGTGGTCCAGCCAGGTGACTGGACACACAGAGCCACAGCAGGAGCTGAGGAATCCAGAATTTTCCATGCTTGGACTGTGAGGGTGTGCAAACCCAGGGTGTCCTTTGCCTCCTGAGAGGCACCAGCTCAAGCTGTTTTATTATTTAATTATAGCACTGAGATTAAATTATTTTAAGGGTTGAGACATCTGAGGCTCTGCCATGGGAAGCATGGAGTGAGGAAAGCTGGTCTGAGCCTGTGAGGGTGGGGTGGAGCTGGGAAGGAATTCCCAGCTCAGGAATTGTGAGTTCCAGAGTGGCTCCAGGGTGGTCAGAAAGGGAATTTTCCCTGACAGGCCCATTTGTAGGGTCATCCCAGCAAGGGGATGACAGGGACCTCCCCAGGTCCCTGTCTCAGGGAGCCCTTTGTGCACTCCCTGAGGTGCCACATCAAAGGATCCTTCCCATCCAGCACCAGGACAAGGATGTGACCCTAAAGCACCCCTCCCTTGGGGCAGGGAGAACACCAAGGGCTGGACACAGCATCTGGATCTCCAGAGGAATTCACCACCCCACATCCAAGCTCATGCTTTAGGGGTTGTCTGTTTTCAAGTGCTTTGTACATCTGAGAAGCAATTTTTGGGCTAGGTTATCAGCACTGCCTCGTCACTGCCACCATCAGTGGTATTGGCAAAACCAGGTTTTGATACAAATTTCATAGAATTATGGAATCCCTCCCTTGGGGCAGAGAGAACACCAAGGGCTGAGAAGCAATTTTTGGGCTGGGTTATCCCCACTGCCTCATCACTGCCACCATCAGTGGTATTGGCAAAACCAGGTTTTGATATAAATTTCATAGAATTATGGAAAGGTTTGGGTGGGAAGGGATCTTAAAATCATCTTTTTCCATCCTCCTGCCATGGCAGGGACACCTCCCAGTGTCCCAGGCTGCTCCAGCCCCAGTGTCCAGCCTGGCCTTGGGCACTGCAGGGATGCAGGGGCAGCCCCAGCTGCTCTGGCAATTCCAGCCCAGCCAGGAATTCCTCATGGCCAAGATCCCATCCATGGCTGCCCTCTGGCACTGGGAGCCATTCCCTGTGTCCTGTCCCTGCAGGCCTTGTCCCCAGCCTGGGACAGTGGGAGGTGACCCTGCCATGGCAGGGGTGGAATGGGATGAGCTGTAAGGTCCTTTCCAAGTCATTCTGTGATTCCATGATTTCCCATAAGTCATCAGGAAGTTTCCACCCTGGGCACAACCCAAGCTGGGAATTGCTGGAGGACTTTTTTTCAAAGCTCTACTAACAATGGTACTTTTCTGCTTGGGATGATTCCAGGCTGTGATATTCCAAAGCCTTCAGGGAATGAGGGATTATCCCTTGTTCCTCACCTTGCTCAGGCAGCTGGGGCTCTTGATATGGACAATTCTCTCACCTTTTCCATTCACAAGTTCCTGGTGTGGTCAAGGGATGCTTCCCTGTCCAGCTGGTTTGGTCAGGGGACACTTCACCATCCAGCTGGGAATTCCTGAGGCCCCCCAGCAGCTCCAAGGAAGGGGAAGCTGGGGAGATGCAGCATCACAAGTGGAAGTGGTTGAGGAGTTCCAGGTTTGTCCAGGTAGCTCATGGAAGGGTTGTGTTCTTGGATGTGACTCCTTAACTGGAGATTTCTGGGTAAAAACCCCTGGATTTTAAGTCAGGACTAGAAATTAATCCAGTGTTCAAAGGGAGACAAACTCCTTGTTTCAAGGCAGCAGGGATGAGGATCCATCTCCTTCCAGGGCAACAATATTCCTTTCCACAAACAGAAACCAAAACTCTGCCTCAAGGAGCAGAATGCTCCAAACTCCAGTAATTAATCAGCTTTTGTTTTCCTGAGAGGATTTAAGCAGGACTGACTAAATTTCTTATCAGCTCTCACAGGTTCCTGTACTGAGTACATAAAACATGCTCAGGATGTGAGTTCATCTTCCCAGGAGTATTGGGAATTGTGATTCAGCCCTGGTAAATCCATGTGCTCAGGGAAAATCATCCCAAGAAATGGTTTGTAAAGCTCAGGTTGGCACCCTGGGATGGTTTCCCATCAGGTTAATTACTTCCATTTTAATTGCCTACTATTAATCCAGCAAGAAGCAGTTGCTGGGCCTGGATTCTGTCCCAAATCAGTGCTGCCCATTGCTCTTGGAGACACTTGGAAAAGTAAAAATATTGTCCTGGAAATGAAGAGGGATGGAGAAAGGAAAAAAATTCCAGTGGTAACATTTTGTGTTATGTGACTTATGAATTTATTTTTAATGAGAGAATGAAGAGGAGAAGGAGAAGGAGAAAAGGAAGAAAATGGAGGAGAAGAAGGAGAAGGAGAAAAGGAGGAGGAGAAGGAGAAAAGGAGGAGGAGAAGGAGAAAAGGAGAAAAGGAAGGAGGAGGAAACGAGAAGGAGGAGGAGGAGGAGAAGGAGGAGAAGAAGGAGAAGGAGGAGAAGGAGAAGAGAAGGAGAAGGGCTCGGCAGGAGAAGGAGGAAGAAATCCAGTGCTAAGCATTGCAGTCAAGGTCATTCTCATAAAAGCTAAAATACACCACATGTAACACTTGCTACAGTTTTACAAATGAACATTTCCTCTTTTGGCTGGAATTTGGCAGACCTGGTACAAACGAGGTGTCTTTGCTGCCCAACAGAACACCCAGGCTGTGGGAAGGGTGCACTTGTGACCTCAGGCTGGAGAGGTTCCAGCCTTTCCAGAGCTTTCCAAGGGAAATCTCTCCCTGCTGGAGAGTCACAAGTGTGACCTTGCAGCTGAGGAATGCAGCAGGAGCTGGAGGAGCAGCAGGGTGGGCTGTGCTCGGCCCTGGGGATCTCCAGAGGGATTTTTTGGAACTTTTCCATGTGAGGGGAAAGCACCCGTGAAACCAGCCGGGGGATTTTGGTCACAGGGTTGCTTTAGGTCTCAATTTCTGATCTGGGGACTTTCAGTTCTCAGATGTGAGGCTGCTTTTGAAACCAGCCTTTTCCCCAAGAGAACGAGCAGCTTTTGGACCCAAGTTTTATTTAATCCATTTCAATTATTTGATGCTGTTCTAGGAGGGAAGAGCACTGACAAAACATGAGGTTGTGAAAATTCCAGCTGCAGGCTTGGACACATCTCCTTTTCCCTGCAAATAACATTCCCAGAGGGTTTCTCCTGAAACAAAGTGAATTCAGACCTTCTTTCATTCTCTGAGGGTGAGAAGGAAGAAGGAAGATTTTCCACTTTCACTTTCTAGGAATAAATAAATGTCCATCACGTGGGGTTTGTTTTCTTTTCCCCTTATAGAATTAATTCCAGTCAAGTGGGGAAACCCTTTCCTTTTAAAGTTTATCTTTAAAGATAATCAATAATTATCACATTCCACTTGGCTCTGCTATCAACAGCTGTGAATTATGACAGGCTGGGAATCTTGAATATATGCCTGTGCTAAATCACTAGAAAAACTTGTACCAAAACCCAAATATTCCCCTAGGAATTAAAGCTGTGACGTTCTCCTTGACCTCTAGCACTTGAAGGAAACAATGTGTTCAAGAGCAAGAGAAACTGCAGGAAAAACTAGTTTGTGATATTTGTTTTGGGATTTGTTTTGGAACTATTCCTCTGCCTGCAGGTGGCTGAGATTACAAAAAACTGGAGTTTTGGGTGAAAAAAACCAGATTTGGGAGCGTGGCAGCAGCAGCTTTTAGCTTCTGAAGTGGGAGGAGGCTGGGAAGCATCCACAGCCTGTCCCTGTGGGATGGTTGTTTTTTCCTCTTCATGCTGGGGTGATAAATCCTGGGGATAAATCTCCTGGTTGTGCTGGCCACCCTCGGCAAAGCCTTTCCTGGGGGCTCCTGGGGGATGGGAGGTGCTAAAAAGAGGCTGGAGCTCCAAAATTGGGGTTTTTAGGTGGTTCTGTCCCCACCGTGCTGTTGGGGGTGGAGTAGAACGTGAGGAAGGACAGAGTAAGCTCAGCGGGGAGAGGAATTAAAAGAATAAAATAATAGCTTTTAATAACAATTCTTCAGCAGAGGATTGAGGGGATGCTGCTGCTGCTGGAGGTCACCAGAGGTGACACCACAACCTGACCCCAGCCACGTTCAGGGTGGGACAGCTTCAGCCGTGGGCCAAGAGGGAAATCAGAACTCCAGGAGAGTCCTGAGCAGACCCAGAGAAGCAAACATGAGATAAAAGGTTGCCCCAGGGTTTATTAAAAGGGTATAAGGTTATATTATGTAATATGTAATATGTAATATATTATATATTATATATAATAAACATCTAACAACAGACAAATATCCAACAGGAAATAAATATCTAACACTAAAGAAATATCTAATAACAGCAAATTTCCCAATTCCTCATAATTTAGGGAAAATTTATTCAGCACTGCCCATGTCCCCAAGTGCCACATCCACAGGGTGCTCAATCCCTCTGGGAATGGGACAAGGAATTTTCCCAATATCCAACCTAAACCTTCCCTGGAAGGACTTGAGGCATTTTTTTTGCTTAAGGGGCTCAAATG